CACACACACACACATTCACACTCATGTACTCACACACTGTGGAATACTTTGAATGCTCCTCTCTTCACAAAAGTCACATTTTCTTCTCACTGTGTCTCTGGCATTTCTGTGCCAGAAATGAGCTGCTGCTTATGAGAGGCCATCTCTAACAGTAGATCCCACCAATAACTCGCTCACACCCCACCCCCCCATTTGGGTGTGATGGCCTCTCTATTCTCTGTCTGTCTGTCGCTCAGTATCTCAGCATCTGTATTCTTTTTGCTTTTTATTATCCCTATATCTTCCCCTCTCACTTCTCCCTTTTCTCACTCTCTTCTTCTGATTTATTATCTTTCCCTCTGTCTGTCTTTTTCTCTGTCTTTCTGTCCCCTTTAGGCTAACCCTCAAACCTCCATCAGGAAGCAAACAAGGCTCCTTGACATTCAATTTCCTGCTTGCCACGCACTTCTCTATTGTATGTGCTTCTTCTTCTTTTCTAGGACTCTTTTTGTGCGAGTTGAATAGGTGGATGGATGTGGCATTGGATGAATAAGGGAGCAGATGGATGGATGGATGTGGATGGATGAGGAGAGAACTTTTCTTGTAGGGTTGTCAGCCTCTGTGGCTGAAGCTTTACCAGCAAGGTCACTTTGTGGGGATTTCAGCATTTTTCTTGAGAACAGTAAACTGAATTTGTTTGGGAGCTGTCAGCAGTAAAAACAGCAAGCAAAGAGTTTTTCCCCCCTTATTTTGTGCTATCTCTGACTGGACAGTCATAATTGTGCACACTGTGATAAATAACCAATTGAACAATTTCTTAATTTAATAAAATATTTTGTATTTATGTTCTGAACAATGTAAAAACCTCTTTAGAAAGACGGTGTGAAAAAACCCTGTATAACATTATGGCAGAGATGCTACAAGTCCAAGTCAAGTCTCTCATGGTTATAATAAATGTTCTATCATCTGCTGCATGATCTGGTCTATTTAGAACACTGCATATAGCATACAGTATTAGCATTAATTAGTTGTTTGGTAATTGATCACTTTAAATAGGCTATTGCAATGCAATATGAAAAAAAACACAATGTGAACATTCTTCACAACTGTATTTTGCTTTGTAACATGAACATGAAGCTACAGTACAGACCAAGTATTGACTAAAAAATTAATATATGTTAACATTACTCAGGGTAACAGAAAAATATTACGATCTTTATTAGGCATGCAATAATAAGTAATTTTTCAATAACCGTACTGCTGTATTGTGTAATTACAGTGGGTCTCCAACTAATGACAGCTCATAATCTACTGTAAATTAACACATCCCTCTATCCTCTCAAACCCAGTGTAATAGTAACCTAATAAGCCTGTTATGTTCAACAATATACATATGCAACATACATAATGTTGATGCACCAAAAAAAACACAAATTAAATAAATAAAGATTGTTCCCAAGTCTCAGTCAAGTGTGTTCAACTGAAGTGTGACTGAGTCCGAGTTGCAACAACCACATCCAAATATATATCAGTAAATCAAGGTTTGAAATTTGTTGCTGAAGTGTGGGGAGTGGTTGAATACCTGTTCATCATGGATTGCATTGTTTGTGACTCATCTGAGCAACATGTATATAAGGAGACAACTTATCTCATCATAGTGTTTCCGAAATTATTGAAAAGAAGGTTTTCTGGAGAATTTAAGCAAAAATAGAAAGCATGCTAAGTCAAGTGTGCTAGTCGACTAACAATATATTTTAAAGAACCTTTGATGCAATACTAAGCTTCCAAAACTACAGAAGACAATTCAGCAGAACCTGCTTACTTTGTAATAAATCACAATTTAAGATTGTAAGTGGTCAGGACTGAAGCAAGAGACTGTCAATTGCTTTTGCTAAGCCTGACCAATTTTAAACTCTTATTTATACCAAAAAAAAAATACAAGTTGGCTAAATATCAGCACCAATGTATGCCTGGACAGCAGACTTTAAAGCTTGCTTGTTTCTCACTGCACTGCTCTCTTGTCTTGTTGCTAAGAACACTGTTGTGCACCGTTCAATGAACCAGAATCTCATTGTTTGTTTGTCCACCCAGGAATTAGAGGTACTCCAACAGGCCATTGTCTGACATTTTTAACATTACTGAAGGAACCTTGAGAACAACCCTTTGCACACTTGAACGGTGACCATCAAAGACCTCTCTAAAGTTAGCTTTCACCTAAATTAGTGGAATGTTTTCCTTATCAGTTTTATCTCGAGTTCATAGCTGACTGTCCATATTCTAAGTGAAGCCGTGGGTAACTAACTGGTGCTGTTTGATTAGATGGCACCACAAGCAGGAAAAAAATCTGCAAGTCAGTCAATCCAGCCTGTCAGAAATTACTTGGTAATTAGTGTGTGTGTGACAATGTGTGTGTGTGTTTGTGCTCCTGAGCCTGCTTGTGTGTGTTTGCAGTGAGTCCTGTTGAGAGATAAATGAGTCTGGTTGACATTGTCTCGAACAGGTGGTGAAGTCAGCAGGGAAGACATACAGACAACTCTCATACACACACACTCACACACACACACACAGACACACACACTCACACACCCAATTTGACTTCAATGCCGATTTTCTGGCTTGTTTGAGAGCGTAGCCAATCTGATTGGATAAAGAAGGAAGAATAGGTTGTCTTTGAATAGCCTCCATATTGAGTGGCTGATGTATTGATTACAGAGGCAGAGAACCCACATTAATCATTCACAGCATGTTTGATTGACTGATTTATTGTCTTTTATGAACATTGCATGCTATTTATTTGCCTCTGTGTCAACCAGTGAGTGTGTTAAAGGAACAGTTCATCCTAAAATTAAAACTCTGTGTATGTAAGTACTTTTGTGTCACACATCATTGCATCTAAAAAAAGACACTAAAACAACAGTATGCAAATCAGCTAAAGAAGTTAAATTTTCCTCATGTCCTCTGTGTATGTGTTTATTTTTAGGTGAGTGTGGTGCAGGACTCTGTGAACATCTCAGGCCAGAACACAACTAACATGGTGAAGGTACCGGATTGCAGGCTGGCGGAGGAGCTCGGAGATCTGTGGGAAAACTCTAGATTCACCGACTGCTCCCTGTGTGTCGCTGGCCAGAAATTCCAGGCACACAAAGCCATCCTAGCAGGTGAGAATATCCCTTAATTCATCACATCTAACAAAGGTGGAACATAAAGACTTAGCATTCAGGTTGTCTTGAAAACTTCAGCCAGGCAGTGATTGTGATTTTCTGCCGTCTATAAAAAGAAAATCCCAACAATCAAGTGTAGTTTTCATCATTCAAGTAATTGTGTGGTCATGGTATGACACAGAAATATACTGTACATTTTAAGCTTGCAGTAAAACATGAACTCTAAAGGTATAGTTACATTACACATTCATATTGACTCTGTTTCCAACTTCCTGCGTTTCCTGTTTCACTCCAATCTCAAACCGACTCCTCCAGTTATCTTTATTACCCCAAATGGGAAACTTGATTTGCAGTCAGGGGCACAAACAAGGATAGGATTTTTAAATTCCATGTGCAAATTAAGCAGGGATATTGCACAAGGAATAAAGGAGTTTTCACCTTTTTTAAATCTACGGCCTGAGGGAAGAGTTCAAGGTGAAGGGGGTGGTTTGTAAAGTCCAGTATGGACGTGGCTTTGCAGAGAACCTGCTGGTCAAGGATAGCCATCAGAGGGGTCTGTGGGACAAAGATCACCTTCCCAGCAACCTTAACAATGTGGTTCAGGTGGTTTTTATCCTTTATGTTTAAGTTAACGTACCAAGCAACAAATTCAGTAAACAACTTTTCAGACAAGAATGTAATTATCCAGTCCACATTAAAAACATTTAACTTCCTAAGGAAGTACAAACGTTGCTGTCCTTTCTTACAGACTGAATCAGAATTTATATCAAATCAAAGTTTTTATTGATGACTGTTCAAAGATATTTATACTGTTCAACAATTTTAATGCCAGTTCCTTTGATGAAGGTCTGAGATAGCGGGTGGGATGATTGCCTTCTGAAATCAATGACCGTATCCTTGGTCTTTGTGACGTTTAATTTGAGAAAGGCCTCATCACACCTTTTAACAAAGTCATCCACCATTGGCCCATGCTCATATTCATCTTTATGGAGCAAGCTAATGATAACTGTGTCATCAGCAAATTTCAGGATGTGCCTGTCCCCCTGCTGGCTTCTACAGTCATTGGTGTAAAGAATGTAAAACAAAAGGGACAAGACACAGCCCTGAGGAGAGCCAGTGGAAGATGAACACTGTTCTGACAGAAAGCCATTTACTCTCACCCTCTGAGATATTTAAAATATATTTATTTACATCAGAAATGCGACATTGTGTCTTTTTTAAGTGTTTTAAGTGTAAAACCTTATTTGTGAACAAGTCATGGCATTAGTATATTTCTATTAAGGTGTTTTGGTAAATTTCAGAGTTTTAACATGTGAAAACTTCCCAGAAGTTGCTTTTAACTGTCAAGTTATGCAGGTGGTTATTCCCATGTGTCGTGCACACAGCATCATTAATGGAGCAGACTAATAGAGAAGTTTATTAGCTATGCAGTATACACACCTAAAAGCTGTCATTTATATGCATTCTATATATCAGGGTTAGACCGATATATTGTAGTAGGTTAGACTGACAATAGAGTCCAAGGTGAAGTCCTCAGGTACACTGTCTGACCTACAGTCCAAAACACAGATACTGAAATTATCATTTTATAGAAACAGTGAATGTTTGGTATTTTTGCATAATAAATTACCTTAATTAATAGGTTATCAAAATTGGTATCTTCTGTTTATTGACTAATAGCTTTAAGATTAGATCACTTGGTGGCGTTTATGTTATTTTTCATGCTGGAGTTCTGATTTTTAGATTCAAGTTTCAGATGTTGTTCTGCTGTGACAAGAATTCCGGGGGAAATACTTCATCAGATTTTTAATTTTAATGAATAATTTTGCTTGCCATAGGGATGGTTAAATTTGAATACATTGAATATCCGTACGAAGTGTCATCTATTGGCACCTTGAGCACCTGCCTGTGTTGGTATTGGCCCTAGAGTCCATATTGACCACACCCTGTTATGCTGGCACTCAAACACACATGTGCACCACACACACATGCACACAATGCCCGGTGAACAACTTGTCGCAGATATTGGCGCTTTGATGACAGGCAGCATCAAATAGTGAGAAGTTTGAGGAAACTGGCGAACTGTGTGTCTCTGTGGGGGCAAAGAGAGGCTGTTCATTATTGGATTTGTTGAAATGTGTGTGTGAGGAGCCATTTTAATTATGTGCTGCTGGGGTTTGGGGTCTTCCCCTCTCTCTCTCTCTCTGTCTCTCTGCTCTACTTGGTCCAGATGACGTCCCTCCTCCTCGTTATTCCCCCTCTTGGCCGTTCCCGTGACAACTCTCCCGGCCGTTAATCGCCGTGGAGACGGACAGAGAGGGATCAAACGAAGGAGGGAGAGCAACTCAAATTGGCTCCACATTGGCCATGTGATCTTTATACCACGCTGGCTCCCTCTCTGTCTCTTACCTTCGCTTTCTTTTCTTTTCCTTTTTACCTTTCCTCAATATTCCCCCCTTCACTTTCATTTCTCCCTTTTTCACTCTCTGTCTGGTCTCTTTTCTTCCTCCTTTCACTGTTCCTCTCTCCTGCCTCTCACGCTTCTTTTTGTGTCCCCACATCCCTCTAGTATTTGTCTTCCTGTCCGTCTTTCCTTTTCTTTATCTCTTTCTCTCCTGTCAAATTTTGCTCAGTTCCCTTTACTCCCCATCCTTGTGTACTGTTCTCTTCCTCTGACTTTCTCTCTCCTTTCCCTCCTTTCACTTTCAATGACCCTCTCTCTCTCTCTCCCTCTCTCTCTCTCGCCCACCCCTTCCCTTTGTTGCTGCAGTATGAGCTCACCAGTATTGAGCTGCACCAGACAGACTTACTGTAGGTTTGTCCCCATAGTCCTACCTGGCATTGCTAAGTTTGATTTCAGTGCTCCAGGATGCATGCACTCATTAATGGCTACACTAACTTTTTTTTTAGGATTTTTGCTAGTTGCTGTCACAAAATGATTGGGACCGACATCATGTCCCCATCCTGACATATGTCTCTGTCTTGTAAATGCTTTGGCATGCTGTTTAATTGTAGGTAATCACAAAGAACCAAGAATCTACAGCAAGTCCAGTTGTCTTTGACTCTTCACAGACAAACAAACGCCCTCTTTTTAGTTCTATGTCATGTTGATTTACATTGTCTATATTGCATTTCATACAAATCAACTGTCCACAGCCTTAAGTTGGCTTGTTGTCTGTCCAGCTTCCCTCGCCTCCCTTGTAAACAAAACAAATTACCTCTTGAGAGAAAGCAGAAGAGAAGTATGTAAAAGTTATTTTGTTCATCGTCTATTTCAGTGACTACTGTCACTTCTATAATCTTATTATAAGAAAAAAAGGAATCATCACCCGTCTTGCCTAAAGATATCTTGACATTTGATTTACCTGAACACATGAATGGAAAGTTAACACTTCGTATGTTCTGTTTTTCGGTTTCCTTTTGCCGTTGAAAATTAAAGTAGTGGGGATACCCAGAGGTTCAACTTGCATTTTCTGTATGGCCTGACCTTGGAAGTTAGTCTGACCCTGAGCCGCAGCTTATCTGAGACACACTTATGAAAGCTGAATGCTGTGGGACCTGATGTTCGTTTCTGTGTTATTTACTTAGTTGAGGACTTTACTGAGGCAGTAGGGGTTGACCTTATAACCACTACTGTATGTCCCATTGTTAACTTTTCATTTACTCATTGGCTTATCCCCACATTTTTCTATTATTATCAGTATTATACTTATTTGTGGCTTGTTCAGAGTTGATGGATGACACCATGTTTCCAAATGAGTAATTAAATAGCTAGCTCTGCGGTTAATAACCCATTATTTAGTACTTCAATTAATTAGTATATCACTGACTTTGACACCTACTTAATAATGTGTTAAAACATTTGTTAATTTTTAATCGCTAGGTAATTAAGCATTCATTAGTGAACAATCATATAAAGTGTTACCCAATGAGCACATAATGAAAGAGAGTGAAACATATCAGAAGAGGATGACACTGGTTGAAGTGTGATTCTTAGTAAAAGGCCAATTTCTAACCTCTGTAGAGACACATTCTCTCTCCGCTGTTAAACAACCAACTGGTAGTCATGTTCAGACACAGACTGAGCTCCATCTGTGAGGTTCAGCCTGTGCCTAAACTAACCGCTGTCACGACCGGGATGAGAAGAGATAAAATACACTGTGTCGTTGCCCTAAGCAGAACTACAGAGACAAGATGTGGTTGATTATTTTAAGCACGCAGAATTATCATACAGCAGCGATTTCAAGTACAACAGAAGTGGGACTGATTAATGTAATTTGTAGTGCTGTGGTTGGATCCGACAGCTAGCACGGCCGGTCTGAGCCAAAGATTAAACATAACCTCTCCAGCCGTGGTCATGTCTGAGTAATAAGAGAGAAAATGCACGTTTTGCCTTTAAAGCAATGCAGTAAGTCACTGTTCACCTCACTTGTGTAATGATAAAAACGCAAATACTAAAAGAATTTATGTGTCCTTTTTGATCAATAGCTCGAGTCCTTTGAGGTCACTAGATTTAGTTATTTACATCGTGAATTTATCTGTCTTAAAAACGTGTGGCAAAATCTGATTAAAGAAAATCAACAATATGAAGTCTGGGTGAAAATTGGATTATAAAAACACCATTTGCATTGCAAACACTATGTTTTACTGTTTTCTTTTTACTTTGAGGGACATAATCAGCAGCTCTTTTGCATTTTGTCTCCACTTTACTCCTCATTTTCTGTAAATGGAAGCATGATCTGAACTGTCCTTGCCTCAAGAGGATTTATAAACTGTGGTGAACAGTGTCCTCTTGCAGCAAGAGACAGAACACATTTTGGATTATCATGCACATATAAGCTGTCTGCTCTGCTTTTAAAAATTGTGTGTATTTTTTTTTATGAAAATAAGCCTTAGTAGTCCTCTATGCTAGCATGATAGAATAGTCTGTGTTGAATGGCAGCAGTAGATTTTCAGACCTTGTTATCAAAACAGGAACCTTAATTAAAGCATAATGTATCAAATAAGCTCCAGTCTATCAGCATTAAATTCCAGTTAAACACACCTCAGAGGTCGTCATGAGTCTGTCAGCAGGACAGAGCTGCAGTCGACTTTTTCCTCATGATGCTTCTGCTGCTGTCACTGCTGTCAGTCATCCCTCTCGCTCTCCTCTGGCCCTGTGGCAGGCTGTTAACGGATATCAGAAACCTCTCCATGCATCAACATTACACATAATAACAAACCTCCCTCTCTCTCTGTTTTTTGTTTCTCTCTCTGTCTCAGCTCGCTCGCCGGTGTTCAGTGCCATGTTTGAGCACGAGATGGAAGAGAGTAAGAAGGTGAGTCGAGCACTTGACTCTGTTGTTCCTGCTCCCTCAGTGGTGACTCGAATGTCTAAATTCTAATCTTTCTCTCTGTTGCGTCAGGAAGTCCTCACCTCTTAAAACATCATAGTGTGTCTGCATGTGTTCCTTCATGTCTTGTTGGCTGCAGTTCTATTATGCGGTGTCTTTTAAGCCACTATGTGTAGATTTTCATATGTGATTATATCATCTTTGAAATTATTATAAAGGTGCAAGGGGTCGTTTGTAGACAACTTTAGAGCTGCTCGATAGTGGATATTTGAGGTTGAAACCAGTGTCAATATTTAAGAATACAGTATATTGTACAATATATTTTTTTTATATGAGACATACATTAGCACATAGCACAAGTATTACTTTAATTCATGTGACCACTTTACTGTTAATAATATTAGTGTCAATAAACTTGTCAAATCCCTCTGATGGACAAAATGTTATGGTATCTTAGTTTTGCATAACATATCTTTGGCATTCCTGTCCTGCAGTTTCATGTTGAGGTCTGGTCTCATCAGCATTTAGAACGACAAAGCTTTGTGGTTCGTAAACTAACTAAATAAGTACAACTTTGATTAACTTTACCACACTTGTTTTTACCGTTGACCAATAGCACGGTGTCTTGATGATACAAAATGGAGGAAGCTATTGTAGCTGTCTAGCTGTGTTGCACCATCCTCTGTCAGAGTATAAACTGCTCCACAAGAAGAGGAGTGGTTTCCACACAGTTATAAGTCAAAGGTACAAATATGTCTTTTGAATAAACTCTGTGAACTTACTGTCCTGTTAATCGTTCAGTAACTCTTTATTGAATGACACGTTGTGACTGGTTAGCATGTTCCCGACTGGTTAGGCTGTTAGCAGTTATCTTAGCAGCTACAGTAATTCAGCAAATAGCCCTGCAAATTATTCAATCACCAAACTCCTAGAACCAAATATTTTACCAAGAAGCCAGATGGATTTCATAGTGCCACTTTCTGATGGGACTGAGCATTAACTGGGAATTAACTTACTGTACATGCCAACACAGATATTCCTGTAATAAGCTAATATTGGCTGACAACATCAACTGATTTATCAATTGAGTTATCTTCTGCACATAGTGGCTTGAAATTATCTAAGTATTCACAAAAAAAATAAACAATTTAAGATATTTTTTTCTCAATGCAGTGTTCTTTTTCACAGCAGCCATTTTGACATGAAATCGTAGGGTAAACACAGACATTACTAATGATCTGTTCCAAGTAGAGTCATGGTGATGTTATTGTGCATGTTAGGCTCTGCTACACTAAATGGAACAGAACTTTAATTACTATCACCTGTGATTACCCTACTATACTATTTCTAATATTCTGAATTCTGAAAGGGGGATCAATAAAGGAATATCTTATCTTATCTTATTTCATGTCAAAATGGCTGCTGTGAAAAAAGTCTATTTGAATAGAACAATATTCAAACCATTCCATCCATTGTGTGTGCTCTACTTAACACAATTGAGTTCATTGCTCTTAAGAATCTTTAAAGTGTGTTCAGACAGAATTTGAACGGTGAACATGTAAATCTTTCAACACTGTGTGTGCATCTTTGCTTTTTTTTATGTGTCCTCTGTGATATTTGTGTATGTCTGTGTGTATTTTTCCATGTCTGTGCGGGCATACGCACGTGTGTGATGCAGAGAGCCCTCGTGCCACAGTTGGTTGTGTTCATCTGATAGGAGGTGGTGAGATTGAACCTTGGTGATTTAGCCGTCATGTCAGCGGAATATTGATGCCTGCATGGCTCGAATGGGGAAATTATAAAGCACAGAGCCAGGAAATGCATCTTAATTGCTGTTTAAGTGGGCGTCTTCATCAGAAAGAGGGAGAGATGGTGGGCCACGTCCCCATACAATTCAGAGAAAACAGATAGATGGGTTAACACTCCTCTGCAGCACTCTATAGAGGAGAGACAAATGAGCTCATAAAGAAACACTCTAATAGAGGACTGCTCTGTGAATAGACGGGAGATTCACTGTAACTACACGAACGTTGTCTATTTATGAGACACTGTTGAAAGCTTGCCTTCGCAATACTGAATGAAGTCCTGTTAGTTTTTCCTCATCTGACTTCCAATGTGATTATGTGGTGCTATTTTTTCCATTTTTATTTCATTAACACTCCAACTCACTTTGCTGTTGAAAATAAGCAAAATAAAATTATTTTAGCTCTCCTGTATGTCAAACCCCCTCCATATTCTGGATTGTGTACAAACAGTAAAAGTAAGAAAGCACATGCTGTGATGAGAAATGTTTTTTTTTTGAAGCTGACGTTAGAGGTTATACATGCTACTAGATGTCGCACCAGAGCACTGCATTTCAGACCAAAACAATCAGTCATTTTACCTCGTATAATCGTAAAACACACTTAAAACTGGACAGAATCAAAATAAAACTCACCAAAACCTTATTAACAATCACCATTGTTGGTTTGGTCAAAATAAACCCTAACTACACTGAGTTAGATTTGAAAATGTGCAAAAAAGATTGCAATGGCAGCAACATAACAAATCCTTTGAGCGCCCGTCAGTGTACGTCCACTAAAAGTGCTTGTTTTTGCTCAACAGCCTCAGATTGTTATTATAATTGTCTGACAACATTATGGAAGGGATCCCTACAGAGATAGTCCGCTTTGTTAGAGACTAAGATCCTTTTTGTTTCACCAGAAACAGATGTTACATTGCCAGTGCTCACCACCTAACTCCATAGACAGAAATTGTAATTTTACCTTGCAGATCAACATTGTAACTTCATTCGAAGTGGACAAAATAAAACTGCCTTTTGTTATTCTTTCCACTGTTCCAACAATCACCAACTCTGGTTTAGGCAAAATAAATCAGTAATTCACAGACGTAGATGAGAAAACGTTTAACTCTCATATATATATATATATATATATATATATATAACATTTAATAGATTATATGTACATAATGTAGCGAGTAGAGGATTCATGTTTTTTGGCTTACCTGTTTTACTGATTGAGCTATGTGTGTGCCGACAGGCCTTCTTGTATTTATGTGTGTTATCTGTATGCCTGTAAAAGGACACTATAACAGACTGCGTGCTGTAAGCTCCACCCGGCTGCTTTCAGACTTTCCCTCCATTATTTCTCAGTGTGTTTATGTTGCTGTTGAGTGGTCAGAGTTGACACAAATGCACTAAGCTGTTGGTACACCCAGCCTGACCCTTCTAAAGCGCCGCCGGTCACCGTGGTGACGATAAAGCACTGTTATAATTGGTTTACTGCTTTGTTCTGCCTCTCAGTGCGGAGGGAAAGGTTCAGGTTACCGTCACTGTGCCAGCGAGTGATAAAGCCTACTTTGCTGGCTGCAGGCACTGTCAAGGAATGAATACTCAGGATTAATTTTCAGGAATCAGCTGAAAAGAATTAAATAAATGTACTAGAATGTAGTTTTACTGAAACGTGTTCAGACTGTTCAGAAGTTGTTTATTTTCTTATTTGGCACTTGGAACTTGTTTAGTATCACTCTATGGCTGACTGTCCCTGTGTGTATGCTAAACAAGGTGAGTGATTTTAATTCAGGTACGTTTTAGGATATTCATATAAAATAAAATAAAAAAAACCCACTCTGCTGCTGCGCATGGTTTTAAAGGATTGTCAAAGCATCTTTTTCTTCTCTTGCCTTTTATTCTGTTAAACCCTCTGTGTATTTTCCTCTCCTGTCCTCTGCTCCCGGTCAGAACCGTGTGGAGATAAATGACGTGGAGCCAGATGTCTTCAAAGAGATGATGTGCTTCATCTACACAGGCAAGGCCCCCAACCTGGACAAGATGGCTGATGACCTGCTGGCTGCAGCTGACAAGGTACAGAGAGTGGGTGTGTATGTGTGCACCTGTTACTATGTACAATTACACACAAGCTGGTATGCATAATAATGTCCCTAAAAATACACCTGAGAAACACCAAGTGCTCCTCAACCCCCAAACACACACACACACTTTAATCACATTCAAACACAATTTGGTAGGGAAATATAAACCCTCCTACATGTGGAAGGTAAAGAGATGCACACAATTACAATGTATCCTATTCGTCATTGTTTTTTCCTGTGCTGATACTGGATACTCAGTGTTTTCTATCCATTCCACATTTTTACTCCTCCACTCTCTTTCTTCCAGTTTTGCTCTCATTGTTTGTAGAGTTGTATTTTCAAAAATGTCCAACTTTTAATGGCTCACAGCAGGTCCATCTAGATTTGTTTTGACTGAAACAGCCAAATATACACTAGTTAGTACTAATAATACATCGGTCTATTGGTTGGTCCACCACTTTAGTTCAGACAAAAATATCTCAAAAACTATTGGATCGATTGCCATGAAATGTTGTACAGACATTAATGGTCCCAGAGGATGACCTGAATCTTCTTCTAGTGCCACCATTGACATTTTTGTTTTTCAGTGATGTATCTCAACGGTATTTGATGGATTGGCACACAATTGTGCAGATATTTGTGGTTCCCAAATGTCTATCAAACTAATGACATAACCATCAGCCTCAAGTGTACTTTGTCTTTTAATTAGCAAAGGGGATAAATGTTTTAAGTACTAAACATCAGCATGTTAACATTGTGAGGAAGGCAGCATGTTGACGTTTGCTTTTAGCTCCAGCCTCTAAGACCTGCTTGCATTGCTGTAGACTTTTAGTTTTATGTATATGTTTACTGCAATAATCTTGTGAAAAGAGTTTTGAAGACTCAAGTACAACAAAACTATTTTATTTATAAGTAGGGCCTACAGTCTAGACCTGCTCTATATCCTCACCTCACTTCAGCTTCGCCTTCACGCTTGAGTTCTGCCATTATTTCAAGTTTGGTAGCACAGAACAGTTGTGTGTGTCTTAAACATCCTCGCACAACCCTTATTTAGTAGAGGTTCATTTGAATTAACTCCATTACATCTGTGTTCGTGTGTGTTCGTAAATACCCTGCTAAATTGAAAAATTGCGGTAACGCAAAATTTCCCGTAGTCTCTGCTGAACCATATCGACTCATCCTGTGTGTATCACTGTGAGAGCAGATTATTGTTCCTATTGCAATTTTGTAATCAGACTCAGTGGAAATATTTTTTTACCTCTCAAGTGATCCCGTTTCCCATCATCATTCCCCCTCCGTCTGCATAACTGTCACTTTTACTTCTCTTGGCCATGTTTTTTTCTTATTCAATCTTAGCCGTGTTGCCGCTGCGGTGGAGTAATTCTGTGTTTCCGTATCATTACACAGTGCGACAACAGTTGTTGGTGGCAGCGCTGTTTAAGTAATTTAGTTTACCTGCTGTTTCCCCTCTCACTCTCTCGCTCTCCCTGTCATTGGCAGTATGCTCTGGAGAGGCTGAAGGTGATGTGCGAGGACGCTCTGTGCACAAGTCTCAGTGTGGAGAACGCCGCAGACGTCCTCATCCTCGCCGACCTGCACAGCGCCGACCAGCTCAAGACGCAGGCCGTGGACTTCATCAACTAGTGAGTTACACGCCTGCACTGAGATCCTTCATCTCCAGAACTACTTCCACACTTATGCTTATAATTATACAATTTTTTTCTGTTTCACACACACACAAACACACACATTTGTACACTTAGCTTTTCGTCAAAGGAAGTCATTAATTTTCAGTGGGAGCAATTTTTGTCTCCTGAGGAAATTTAATTTAATCCCCAGATCGGACCATTTTGCTTCTGTACCATATTGGGCCATTTAACAATAAAGCTCAGCTGCTGATGTTAATGATGTTGCAGGCAGACTGGTTAGGTAAGATGGGGCCCATTAGTATCAATGACTGATATTTATGTCCATGGAGAGGTGATTGATCCAGTATTTGAATGCCCAGTTGAAACAAAAATCTTTCTCAGTCACTACTTAAATGCATCACCTCCCCCACTGTTTTCTGAATTCTCTGTCTCTGAGCCGGACACATTTTCCATTTCTTTGTTCATGCCTCTGTCCTTTTCTTTACAGCTTCACTCCATCTCCTGGCCTCGTTCCTGCATGGGCTCCTTCTCCCTCCCTCTTTCATTTACTCCTATATCTCCCCTCTTTTTCTCCCCTTTCTCCCCCTCCTGTTCTGTGCTTAAGAGCTCATGTGTGCCTAAAGGTGTTCAGTAATGCAGATTTCTGCCCCTAATCCCAGTCATTAATTGTGGTTATGGGCGTTATGACAGTTTAATTTGCGACAGCGTTGTTGTGGTGGGGAGAAAATTGGCCACGGGGGACTCCCGGGCCAGCAAAGCGTTATCAACCCTCCTCCTGCGGACACAATGGACGGCAACAAGAGCAACAAAACAAAAATCAATTTAGAGGACGAATATAGAAAACAAGCGACACAGAGGAACCAATAATCCTCCCCCCAGTAGCACCTCAACCTCTTTCCAGACCAGTCTTTACAAGCAGCTTACAGTCATTTAGTTGAGACAATAGGAGTCCTCTTTATCTTACCTCTGTCTCATTTATTTATCCTCTCCAGGGATGTAGCAGAGAGTAAAGCCACCCAAACACTCTTTATCCACTCTGTTTATAGAAAAGAGTTTCCCCACTTTTTTTTAGCCTAACATGAATCTTTAGGACTGAGTAAATTCATCGAATAAATCGCAATAAGTAGTGCGAATGCGACATGAATAGGAAGTAACGGCCTTCTAAGGCAGAAAAAAATAGAGCTTTTCTGAAAGTAGTTTTCAGTTCATAATAGTGGTGGTTTGCCTTATGATTACCACAGACTGGAGGTCATAGTTTGGCCTCTTTTTAATTTACCTTCACATTGCTGGTCTTGCTGTCCCTCAGTCCCCTCCTGTGCCTCACTGCAGACTTTCATCACTCTCCCTTACCTCCCTGTTTATCTTTTTGGTCACTGCTGCTGTCTCTCTCTCTCTCTCTCTCCCTCCTCCTTCCCCTCCTGCTGTGGCTGCTCTCCTCGTGCCCTTTTGCTGGCCTGTTGCCTCAGCCTCCTCACACTGGCCATTACTGTAGGCAGGCGTTCACTTCCTCCACAGAGGATAGGGTCAGAGGTTGGCTGGAGGTCTAGAGCTGCTGTGTGGACAGCATTTGA